CTTTATGGAGCTAAATGTTGAAATTTTTTTGTAGAATGTTCAGAGATGTTAGTCTTAATTTACGTGAAACACCAAACGTTTGTTTTTTTAATTCTTGGTACACTTTACATTGCGCGTTTTGTAGCTAATGCGTTGGTTGTTAGGCTGACACAGAAATTGTTTAAAGTTGCCTAAAATAACAAAAGTAGAGTAGTTTCTGACCCATTTCATCACAAAGCTGCTAGTTTTGCACTTTTTTTTTCTTCAAAGTAGTACGCGTCTCGTTTCTGCAACAGGAGAAATGAATATCTAATACATGTTCCTAACCTTTCGTATTTTTAAACATTAAAATTAGAACTTGTGAATTATAAAAAAAAATTGAACGAAGGTAAGTATAGGCCTCGTTATATAAATAACGTTTAATGCTTATTTGTAACTAAGCAATAAAGCTACACAATAGGCTATTTGTGCTGTGCCTACCGAGGGTATCAAAGCTCGGTTTTTAGCATTATAAGTATGCAGACTTAACACCGTGCCACTGGAGGCACATACAAATAAAGAAATAAGACAAGTCACAATGGTCAAGATAAATTGCGTGAAATACTGAGTTATATATGTTGTGTAAACATAAGTGTCATTTTAGTTTTTGTGTATTTGTTTCTTTACCCTTTTTTTTCCACCTGTCTATTATTTTTCTCTTATTCGCTTGTTTTGGATATTCGTACAAGATATGTGAGGGCTATCTGCGCTAGCCGTCTCTAATCTTGAACTGATAGACTAGAGGAAAGGCAGCTTCTCAACAACATTCATTGACCAAACAGTGAGATTTGACAGTTATTCTTATAACGCACCCACGGTCTCAAAGTGCGAAGCGCAATTTTGCGGAAACGAGGCGTGAATCAAGAGCCAGCAAGTTCACAGTTCGACATGCTAACCACTAGGAAGCATTATTTTTCTCCATTTATTGTAAATAAGGGTTTTTAGTTTTCTTTTTCAGATTGTAAATAAATTCACACACACATAGCGAAAAAACACAGAGACGAGCAAAGATGCAGGCTTTATTGGATAATTCAAACATTACCTCATTAGGAGGTCATATCTTCAAACATAACCTCATTAGGAAGTCATGTCCGTGCCCTTTATAGAGGAAACTTGTTTATTTGTTGTTAACTCAAAGTTACACAATTAGTTATCTATGCTCTGTCTAACGCGGATAGTGAGTCCCGATTTTCAGCGTTAAAAGCCCTCAGAGGTGCCACTGAGCCACCGTGGAGGCTTTTAGTAGAAACTACACTTTTTTGTTGTTGTTCCTTCCCTGTAGATTCGATAGCCCATTGCGTAGCTCAATCTTTCAAAAAGAAAACAAACAAAACTTTCGTATAGTTTGCCAATTGTTTTCTAAAATATTACAAACTACAATGTATATATCCTATCGCTATGTGTATTATTATTATTTTTCCAGAATAAGCATATGTATGTCGAGTTTAAACCAGCATGGTACCGCAGTTGGTTCATTCAAATTGCTTCAGATTAAAATATAACAGAAATTTAAAACCAAGCACGTGATCAGCTAGGTTAATATTCTTTGTGTACAGATTGTTTTTTTTTTAAATCTCTGATGCAGACTTTTATGAGTGACTCATAAGATATTCAATGCGCAAGGGTTAGGTATAAAGATAATTTTTACTACTGCTGGCTTTTTGATTTGAACTCAACGTCTTGACAAACAGAGAATGACTGTTCTTAGTGGACTTGAAATCTCTTTAAAGCGGTGCCGGCACATAAGAGCGTAGGTGTAAACATGATATGGCGTCTGACGTTTCATGAGACAGCGATCTTTTGATCATAGAAGATGTACTACATGCAAAAATAGTCATACATAAGTTTTTAAGCCATAACACTTGTTTTCTTTCTTGCATTCAACAATAAAAACAGCAACCATGTAAAATTATATAAATTTTATTGAGTATGACTTATCACCCATTTTGATCCAATTTAAAGTATTTCCAGACATTCTTCTGAACTAAAAAAAATACTTAACAGACAAAGCAGATGAAAGTAAAAACTAAAATTGTATAAATACTGAAGAAGACATAATTTTGGTATTTTTTTTTGTTATACTAATTTTATCTTATTACAACAACAACAACAACAACACGATAAATAAAACGATTATTCGGAAACTGAGAAGATATATACAATTTAAAATTATACTGACTATTGTGTAATAATGGAAACTAAGTGACACTAAAAAACTTGTAGTGAGACACGTCTCATCCAAAACTCTAAACACAATGACTCACGGTTATCATAATCTGACTACACTTGCTTTTTCTAAGAATCCGCCTTCGGTTTCACATTTAAGTAATAGCACCGAACGCATCTGTAACTTATGGTATATGATAACCAATCCTTTTTAATTAGGTTAGCAAAAGTTGATGTTTTGTGTGTGTTCTTTGTTATGGGTGTGGATTATACAATAATATGTTATTTACTGTTAGTATATTCAATTTGCAGTGTTAATTGTTATGCTCTTTTGTTAAATAGAATTTTTGAAAAAACCTTGTTTGTTTGTAGAATTTTGGGCAAAGCTACGCGAGAGCTATCTTCATCAGCCGTCCCTAATTTAGAAGTGATAGACTAGAGGTAAAGCAGCTAGTCAACTCTTGGACTGCTATAATCGAATAGTGAGATTGGTTGTCACAATTAATGTATCCACGGTTGAAAGGGTGATCATTTTCTGGAACGAGATTCAAACCCGCGATCTGCAGACTGCGAATCGATCGCCCTAACCATCAGACCATGTCAGGCCCGCGAAAACCTGAATAAAGGGCTATATGCACGTAGGTGATTCTAATTTTAAACTCATAAACTAGAAAAAAAAGGCGTCTGGTCAACAGCACTTACCACCAAATTATGGGCTACTATTGTCTGACAAAATAGTGGGATCTGATCGTCACTTTTATAACGCATTCACGGCCTTAAAGTGTAGTTCGCAGGTGTTTGTGGCAACAGGACACGAACCACAAGTCTTGGGATTCATAGTTTGGGTACATTACTCACTAGGACAGCCAAGCCCATTTAGAATGTTCTATTTGTGTAGTTTTCGATCTGGGTTATTGTCGGGTTCATACTGTCAAACCTGACACTTTACTTACTTTTAATGTGCATGCATTTCATAAATACTGTTAACCCGATCTATGATAAGTTTCAGTTGACATTTGAAAATGCTTACTCAATATAATCACTCATTTTTTTATCTGAAACTAATTTCGTATAAAAAAAATGAAACTCCACACATAAAGTTATGTTAGTAAAGCTTTTTGTAGTTTGGTTTGAGCAATGGTCTGTATAGTCAGTCTATGGGAATTAACAACTGGATTCAAGAAAGCGAGTAAAAAAAAAGAAAGAAAGATAGATAGAACTAGTCTTAGAACTATAATTTTTGTAACATCGGTATGAATAAAATGAACGTATACATACAAACACAACAATTAAAATTTATTCAAAGATAAGAGCAAACATCTTAGTAAACCAGTTATTTTGAATGCAGATTGCACTAAACCTTTAGCTAAAAACGTTCTAAACGGTTTGCAAACCTAATAGTTTCCATTTGAATCGGATAAGTGGCTTGAAGCTTATTTATTTTCGGCCCCCTAACCATAAACTTTTCTTCTTTAGTTTGAATTTACATTAGTGCTATTTATAGGTGTATAATTAGTAAATCGGTAAAGTTTGTTGATTACATTAAACTCTTGGGCATTTATAGCTATATTGAGAAGATTGGGGTACTATGGAACGACTTAGATCAATTGCAAAGGTGTACAAATGAACAAATGAGCCTTAAATATAGTACGTACAAGCTAATTCATATGGGTTATCATAATTTGGACCCCGCGTTTAATATAGATGGGGACCCACTCAATAGCGTGACTGAAGAAAATAATCTTGGCATCATATAGGATAATTCATTTAAGCCATCAAAGCAATGCTCCGTTACTTGTACAAAACGTAATAGAATTTTAAGATGTTTTATAGACATACTGATTACCAACAAAAGAAGCGGTTATTTCTCTATACAAATCACTAGTTAGGTCTTCTTATGTAAGAAAGAATACTGACTTATTAGAAAGGATTCAGAGGAGGGCTACTAGGATCATTCCGGGGATGAAAGGGTTATCTTATAGAGATAGATTAGATCTCTTAACTTATTTTATTTTGAGAAAAGAAAAGCAAGGTGTGATCTCCTTGAAGTTTGCAAGGTTATCCAGAGGATCGATATGATAAAGGCCTCTGATTTACTTGTGCTTCATTCTGAAGATAGTAGGACAAGAGGACAAAAATTGAAGGTTTGGAAAGGACAGGTTAGGTTTCAGTTAAGACAGTTTTATTTTTGTAACAGGGTGATTAGCTTATGGAATGAGTAGAAGGAGACCCGCACTTTACAAGACTTTAATAGGGTAATCGACGATTTCCTGAAAAATAAAAGGTTGGCTTAGATATTTACTCTTATCAAGGGTGGGTGCTCAAAAACAACCTTGAAGGGCCAAATGGCTCCTTATCCGTATGTTATGGTATGTTAATACACACCCACCCACCCTCACACACACACATAGATATGTATGTATTTGGCAGGATAAACAGGAAGATAGATATCTCCATACATATCTTTCATGAAAATTCTTAATAACTGAAATTTCAGGTCCTCATCCTTACCTACATGCTATGCAGACCCGCTTGCAATGTAGTAATTTTTATTTTAGTCTTGAATATATGTTTCGAGGTTAAATAAAATCATTAGTGTGATGCCATTCCTTAAATTTCTCTAATATTTGAGAGCCGACCAGATTACGATTATTTATTGTTAGATTTGTAAACTTAGCTATAAATTGTTATGTGTGAGATCATTTAACTACTGATAAGGAAAGACTTAACATATGCATGATACAGGGAAAGAGTTAAGCACAGTTATGTAAATGCTTACATTTTTTCTTCTGTTTTTTTGTTTTTTGTTTTCACAGAAAAGCTGTAGGCCACAGTAGTCCAGCAGTCTGGAGTCCTGCTACAAATTGCAACAGCCCTGGACCCAATCCTTTCTTTTCTGGGATTAATGGTTCTCATATATCAAATAACAGTCCGGTAGTCAAGCATGTACCTTCAACACCAGGATCATCAGGCCCTTACTGGGCAGCTAGGACAACAGCAGCGTCTACTCCTTCTGGCCCATATTGGGCAGTTCGAACCCCTAGCACACCCAGTAGTGCAGGTTCACAGTGGGGCGTGCAAACAAGTAATTCTACCAGAAACGGCTTTCCACGATGGCCTGGCCAGGAAATAAATGCAACGAGGAACGAAAATTCACACCAGAATGTTAATTCATCAAATTCAATCGAAATACCAGAAGGGAGTACACAATCACCTAAGGAAGATACAGAACAGAGGTATTCCACGTGTACAAATGTACAGTCTAATAGCCAGGATTATTTCAGTATACCTACCGAAACTCCAACTCGAATGAGCCCTTTTCAAAATTCTTTGTCAGACTCAAATTCTTCAGCTCAGAATGCTTTCCTATCTAACTCAGTGTCAGATCTTCCTACTCCACCAACGCCCATTTTTACTCAACATTGTGGAGCTGACGATTTAAAATTAACTAAAGAAAACACCCCACTCACTCTGCAAACTAATATTTCACCTCTCATGAATTCTGAGAATGCAGCTGAAATTATAACACCGCCCACCCCACTCTCAGAACCACTGTGGGAAAAACACATGGCTGTGACTCAACCCCAGATAACCGATACTATACTTACAAGTGAATACCAACAGGATTCCGTTACTAAAGAGAATATTCCAGAAACCCCTTCTATGGCTCCACCACCACCACCACCGCCCCCACCACCCCCTCCACCTCCTCCGGTAAATGGTCCCACCTGGCGGGAACTACAAAAGGTAAGATTTTCTAGGAAAATAGCTTCAATAATTTTAAGAACAGAAACAATTGGTTAAATGCCATTTTGATCGTACGAGTCTTAGAATGGCAATACCATCTTCGATTCTAAGAGTTTATAATTAATAGTTTTAAACAAACAACTTATATTTAATTAATTAGTATTACTTATACATATTTTTAGAATAACAAATAGTGAAGTTTATCGCTCATAGTCGCACAAAAACATTTATATATATATTTGTCAAGATAGAAAGTTTATAAACACGTAATATTCACAGAACAAAAAAAAAACGTCATAGATCGATAATAGGAGCAGAACGAATGTGTTTTGGTTGATTTACTCTCAGGATGTATATAGTCATCTAGTCAGTCATGTACTCTTTTTATTGCTGATGTAAAACGAAAACAATGTTTTAACATGTGTCTGTCTGTTTGTTTGTTTTAGTGTAAAGGTTATCTGCACTACGTCAGCCGCGGGGATGGAAGCCTAAAATTTAGCCTTATAGGCCCTGAAGTTTAATGAGTTTTTTTTTATATTCATGTATAAATACTTATTTTTTATTATTAGATATACATTTCTGTTTTCTTGTAAAATATTTGAATTTTTTTACACAGATAAATTCACATAATCTTCTATTCACAGAGGGAAAACAAACAAGAAAACACGGGTTACCATCCATTACAAAATTGTGCAAATACTCCTCAAGACGGTGCTGATAAACCTTTCAGCTACTTACCTGGTCCTTTACAAGGTAGTTTAAAGAAGGATAAAAAACCGTTTACCTACACCCCTGGTGGGATTGACCTATCCCAGATCAAATCTCCCCGAATGGCCCGCCGACTTATAGCCAATCAACAGGATCCGGGAGTTGGCGCAAAATCGAAAAATGAAAGCGAAACTCAGGCAGATAACGAACCGAACGAGGAGTTAAATGAATCACAAAATTACCCATCTCAGCACCTTGTTCCCCCTCGGGCCAAGTTAATGCAACCAGTTCTCCCTGTGTCAAACGGTCATCAGCCAATGCCACCATCTGTAACAACAAATCAGGATGCTGTGGGATTGAAACTGAACAATAACAAGTCTGAAACTGCTCAGTTTTCTAATCCTAATCAAGGTATCATACGTAACCCAAAGCAACGACAACAGGCGGTAATTGTCCCATCATACAACTCTCCTTTAAACCTCTACTCTCCAGAAAATACTTTAAATGCATATCAAGCTCAAACTGATGAGGCAGCCAGACAATTTGAAGGGTAAGTAAAATTTAACGTATGATTTTTCAATTAAGATGAACTTATTCTTTTGGTATTCAATAAACTTTTGGCCGGGCATGGCCAGGTGGTTAGGGCGCTCGACTCGCAAGCCGAGGGTTATGGGTTCGAATCCCCGTCACACCAAACATGCTAGCCCTTCCAGCCGTGGGGGCGTTATAATGTGACGGT